GCGCACAGTCACTCATGCCCTCGTCACCTCCCGCCTGGACTACTGTAATGCCCTCTATATGGGGCTCCCTTTGAGGAGCACCCGGAGGCTTCAACTGGTCCAGAATGCGGCCGCGCGGGCGGTGTTGGGAGGGACTCGTCACTCCCATGTAACGCCGCTGCTGCGCGAGCTGCACTGGTTGCCAGTGGCCTTCCGGGTGTGCTTTAAGGTGTTAGTTACCACCTTTAAAGCGCTCCATTGCATAGGACCTGGCTACCTCCGAGACCGCCTTCTGCCACAGATTCCCTCCCATAGACCGGTACGCTCCCACAGAGTGGGTCTCCTCAGGGTGCCGTCGGCCAAGCAATGTCGGCTGGCGACCCCCAGGGGAGGGCCTTCTCTGTGGGTGCCCCTGCCCTCTGGAACGAACTACCCCCTGAGATCCGGATTATTCCGGATCTCCTTACTTTCCGCTGCGCCCTCAAGACATGGCTTTTCCAACAAGCGGGCCTGGCCTAGGGAGGATTTTTAATTTGGGTTCTTTAGAAATTTTAATTATCACAACACAAAAATTTTGGTTTTAATTTGGTTTTATTCGGTGGGGTGTGTGGGTCTTTCTTTGTTTTAATAATGTTGTGAGCCGCCCTGAGTCCTTCGGGAGAAGGGCGGGATACAAATTGGAATAATAATAATAATAATAATTATATTAGCATCTTTGGATGAAGGAAGGATACATCACATCTCAAGTCCTGGAGAACAGACTGAATATGAAACTAAGATAGAATTGCTCATTGTATGTTGAGACCTGTCAACACCAGCACTATTTCTATATGGCAAACAATGCCAGGAAGAAGGTAAATTGTGATTTAGAGATCCTTCTGAACTTATGAATCATACTTGACCAGGAAGTAGATGCCACGACTAGTGGGACCTTTTCAAGGACGCATTTTATGATTCAACATGCCACCCAATCATACAACCCAGTACACTTTATATGGCTATCTTTAAAGTCTTAATGCAGACATGTCAAACACAGGGCCCGGGAGCCAGATGCGGCCCGCAAAGTGGTTTCATGTGGCCCGCGAAGCCATCCTGGAAACAGTGAGGGAATGGCCCCCTTTGCCTTAGCCCTGGCCCAGGCCGGCGGGAGCCAATGTACAATTTTGTGGTGGCCATCTATGCTGAAATGCATTCAGTCTTAGCTCCACAAGGCCATCTGGAAACAGCAAGGAACCAGCCTCTGCTGCGTCGGCCCTGCTCCCTTGGTGCATGCTGGGGAGGTGTCACCCTTTGTGAGGAATGAAGAAATGCACCATCGCCTGGAAGTGGCCAGCAAATGGCCCTCGCCTACTTCACCTATCCGGCTTGATGGGCTCCAGGGGAGGGGTTTTGGCAGGCAGCGGGGCGCTCTCCTCACAGCGCCGAGAAGCTGAGCTGGGCGGCGCGAATCCAAAAAGAAGCACGACGATGCCCAGCCCCCAGCTCTCCTCACAGCGCCAAAAGGCTGAGCCGGGCGGCGTGAATCCAAAAAAAAGTGTGATGCCACCCAGCCCCCAGCCTGCCCAGTTTCAGCAGGCAGCAAGGTGCAAAGCTGACGAGCTTTGCACCGCTCGGCTCAACCTCTTGGCGCTGTGAGGAGAGTGCCCCGCTGCCTGCCGAAAATGGGCAGGCTGGGGGCTGGGTGGCATTGCGCAGGTAATGTTGACTCTCACACTGTTAATGGCATCCCCTCTCCCAGAGCCCACCAAGCCAGATATGTGAAGTAGGTAAGGGCCATGTGCTGGCTACTTTCAGGTGATGGTGTATTTCTTCATTCCTCACAAAGGGTGACACCTACCCAACTGTGTTTCTTGCTTGTTTTTCTTCCTCCCTCATCTCACATATTTTCCCACCACTCTGTACTTAGGAAGGAAAGAAAGAAGGAGAGAGAGGGTCTGAGGGAACTCCTGCCTTAGTCCTGCCCTGCTGCCCTTTCACCATCCCAATGCCCCCTCCTCCTGGCCTATCCTGGGGGTTTCCCATCCTATTGCTAAGGAAGCTTTGGATACGAAGCCAGGTCTACTCTGCCCCCTTGGGGAAGTGGGTCTGGGCTTGCTGCCGCAGGTGCTCAAGGGCCAGACTGGGCATTTGATCTCTGCTGCCCAGGGCTCCGAGCAGCCCGCACCAGCATCCAGCCCCCCCTGCATGGCCTGAGAGGAACAGTGAGGCTCCTCCAGTGGACCATGCCTTGGCACTTGCCCTGGTCCCATCCCCTTCTGCCAGAGACCCTCAGATCTGTCCCACTCCTGCCCAGGCCCCCACAGGCACCCTTGACACGAACGATGTACAGCTGGCCATGCCCACTCAGTAGGCCATACCCACTCCATCCACGCCCACCCAGTAGGCTGCACCCACCCTGGCCACACCCACCCTGGCCACAGCCTTCCGCCCCCCCAAGGGCAACCCCAATGCTGATGTGGCCCTCAATGAAATTGAGTTTGACATCCCTGTCTTAATGGAAACTGTAATGTTTCAAGAATGCAATGATCTATATAATTACTGACTTAAACTCTGTACCTTATTTTACTTTTCACTATTTTCATTTGTTATTGATATGGTTTTGGGGAGCAAGAGTAATGATTTGTATTTTAACTGTATTGATGTTTTAATTTTGTAATATTATACCCCTGTGCAAATTTCTGAGCACTGTTTGATTGTTGTGAAGTTTACATTAAATACAAATTTAAAAATAAAAAATTGTCTTGACAACTATTATGCCTTTTAATTAGTTCTCATGAGAACAAAGCCACAGCAATTTTACTTGGTCTTCAGATTTTCTGCTCATTCATTCTTAGTGATACTGCTATACCGTTCCTACTTTTACCTTTAATATTGGGTTTGTTTTGTTATCATAACTGTTTTGCATGTCAGAAGGATGCATAATATAGGACAGCTTTATCACCTGACTGGCCTAAATTTTAATAAGCAATCACAGAAATTTATATTTCCTAGAGAACTTGAATAGAAAATTTAAGTGTTCTGTGAACCATTTATAATATCTGTATAGTGAAATGATAGCAAGAACATTAGAAAAATGGAATCTGAAAAACATTGTCTCCCCTCCTTTTATTTTTACAATCACTACCTTTCAGAAGCCACTTGAGTTTATCAATGATAGTTTGGATTTGTCGGTCAATATATTTTCCAGTAGACTTAAATGTACAAGTTGAAAGGTTATCCTTAACAAGAATTCATACATTGTAAAACGGATGCTACTTTTTCACCACAATATATTTTAAAATTAAATCAATATGAAAATTGGGGAAAGTAGAAAACTTAGATTTAAATAGCCGTGGCATGTAAAAAATATTCAGCATTCAGTAAACACATTCCAAAGCTCCATCACTATTGTAATTTCAGTCTCAATTCACAATAACTATAACAACAGTTGCTTCAGTCATAATAAAATTCCCTTTTGCCCACAATAAATCTCTTGCTTCAAAGCAGTTCAAAACATTCCCCTGCAGTTATTTATTCTGTAGAGAAAGGAAAAAAACTCATTTGAAATGCAGAGACTTCTGCCTTTTGATCCTGCGATTGTTTGAGTTGTGATATAACTATAAATAGCTTGTCACTGTGTATGTGTGTGCATCTATGTGTGTTCTCTTCATATAAAGATATCTGGAAGAAAATGAAGATATACTTTTTCTTTTTTCAAGAAATATATAGCAATGCTAATACAAACCATTATTTTGGGGATATTAATCTCTCTTGAATCTTGAAAAAGTTTTTTTCAAACTATTTTTTATGCCCATCAAATTCCAAAGTAGGGTTTTTTGTTTTTGTTTTGTTTTTTTAAAAACCACTTTGAAACATTTTTCAGTTTTTTTAAAAAAAATATACTTCTATTTAGACTATTTCTAGCAATGTTTTCAATTTGCTATAAAAAGCAACTTTTAAGTATCTTACCATCCCTTTAAATAATCTCTTTTCCATTTGAGCAGTTTAGTTCTCTATAAAGTTTACTTTAAAGTACATACAGCATTTATCTGAAAGAGATTATAGCTTCCTCAAATTCCTTTAGATTTAAATTAGTTTCCATGAGAATTTTTTTCAGTCTAAATGTATAGTTCAATTTCATTTGCTCAACAGGGTTTACACTCATAAAACAAACCCGAAAATTAAATAACCTGGTATATTTGTTTCTACTAATTCTACAAACTATTTCAACAATATCTATATGACAAGAGTCATTCCACTTCCACTCTACCTTTTTAACTATGCAAATGAACACCCAAAGCCACCTACATATTTAAATCAACTACTACAGGTCAAGCTGAAAGTGAGAAACATGTAGAGTAGACCAAAGGGCAAGGAACCCAACCCAGAAAGTATCATGATTGCTATTTAACATCCAGAATATTTTGGCAATCACGGGGCTGAGCGGGAGGGGGAGTAGTAGAATGGATAGTCATAACCCCCCCCCCCCCCCTTGGTTTTGTGTTAAAGTGTTCTTAGCATGTCATTACTATTTTATTTTTGGCCGGTCAAAGCGGTCCTGAGCGTGTAGTTTGAGCAAATTTTATGTCGTCTTAAAGGATCCAGAGTCCTTTGGGACCTCGGTTCCATTCAATTCTCTGGACACGCTGAGACTGTAGTCTTCACCCGATGCATACCCGAAGGGAGCTATAAGAAGGGATACATCTTTGAGAAATTAAGGGAACCTCTATTGCAAAAAGGAGCGGCAACCCCATCCCACCCCACCCCCCAAAAAAAAACAGGTTTCGGCCTCACCGTCCACCGTCTTCTTCTTGAAAAGCGAAGCCATGGCGGCGTCCCAGCACCCGAAACGAGTCGAGCCACCGGCCTCCTTCCTCGTTCTCAGGTGACCAGGAAGCAGCTTCAGCGCAGAGAGACGGAACCAGGGGAAACCCGCCTCCCTTGCTCTGCAAACGCCAAGGCCGCAGCGACTGGGAGCGAGCAAGCGAGCAAACGGCAGCGCTGGAGGTGGAGCCGGATTCGGGCTAGGCTGGGAGGCGTTTCTGCCGCCGCGTTCGCCTCTCGCCTGCCTTTCCCAGGGCTGCGGCTTCAGCTGCGCGCAGTTTGGCGTGATAAGAGCGCGCTGAGCGTCAGCTGGGCTGCTGTTGGTCCCCCAGAACTGTCACCTCTGAAGGGGAAGCGACAGCCGCCCGCTTCTTGTACGAGCACAGCGCATTTGGGAAGGCTACCCGAGTTTGGATAGCTCCCAAGCACCCTCATCTCTTTAACTTCATTCTCCGTCCTGAAGAGGCAATCATTGTCGAAAGGAACATTCGCCTGCCATTTTTATTTTTTTTTTACAAGGGAAGAAATGTAACAACCTCTCAAACCAGGCTTGTTTACAATTTCTTGTAAAGCAATAGCTTGAAGATAGAAAACAAGCAACACCTTAAAGATTGAGAAAATAGCAGTTAGCTGGTAAATGATGGCTTCAAGAAATAGCCTTTTCCAGCTCCATGTTTACCAGGAATTAGAAGTTAACCTGTACAAAACTGTCTTTTTCTTTTTAAATGTACTGTCAGGTACTTTTGCTGCCTAAGAGAAGGATTGTATAATAATTTTTTTCAGATGTTTAAATGTGGTGGCTATTCATGGCTGGAGCTACTGTTAGGCTTAGAAGATACTTGAAGGTAATGCAGACTGCAAAATCCAAGCAGCTATTCTGCCTGATGATATAAATATTTTGTGCATTAGGTAATCTTGTATTGACTATACATTCTTGAAAGAACAGAATTTGACAAATGGCTAGGTGGACTTTTTTTTAAAAAAAACATCCTGCTTTTATACTTATAAATAGGAATACAGTTTATATGATACTAGGAAATTGCCAACTTTATTGCTAGAGGCACTAAGATTCTTGTTTATCTTTTGCCACCTTCTTTGGCAATGATTTGTGTAAATACTTTCATGAATCTATACAAATAATATAGTATTCAACAAACCAATTGATTTAAAGTAATGATATAGTCACTTAATTCATCCAAATAGATCAATATAACCAAGGAAAAATGTTACACTTTGGGATGATATGTTACTGAAGAATCATGAAGTGAATGCCATGATGAATTTATAAGATCACCTAATATAAATTATTGCCAAATATAAATTATCATACAGTAATTTTGAGGAAAAGAAAATTATTTTTTAAATGACAGCATGTTCATAAATGATATATTTTGTCTTTCCAAATAAATAGCTAATAAATATAAAGTCTAAAAAAGAATCATAATTTTCACTGTAAATACATGTTTTCTGCAATAATTACAATCACATTTGAATAATATCCACTGATATACAGGCATATTCCAAAAAGGCAGTAATTTTTAAATATAACTTATACTTTATTTTAAAAGTATACTTTTAAAGCTATATATTAAAAATCATTGCAAATTTTCATCATCTTTTTTTAATTTTTAGCCATGTTTTCAAATACCTTGAGAACAAGACTCTATCCTTAATGCAGATAATAAAACAATTACCTTAGAATTAGACATATTATTTGAAGTCAGCTTTAATAATAGGTAGTCTTTTCCTGTTCTGATATCCAACTGCTTTCTTGATAATTCATGACATTTCTGGTTCTCATTTGTAGCTGAAGTTGAACTCTTCATACTATTTTGTAGCATCCTCTGAAAGCATCCGACTGAGGTTATAGCTATGTAGCTAGATTTATTCTGAACGTTCATATCTAATAGCTAGTCATCCTATTTTTGAAATTTTCGTGTAAGCCTGAAGATTTGTATTGCCAACTCCACACATGCTGAAGTGCATTCACCAAGACAGCTACTCCAATAGATATGCAGGACAAGTCTTTCTTCGTATTTTTTCAGTTCCTATTATGTCTCAGGCTCATAGAACCATTTCAACATAGTTAAAGTATTAACCACTGAAGTACTCTTTAGTTTCGTAAATTATACTTGCATTTTCTTGTTGTACTTCCTGAATTTTCAAAATGTGTGAACTGCCAACTCAACTACTGTAAAAAGGAGTTGCTAATCCTTACTTCATTTCAGCTCCGTTGCTTTGCATGATGTGACACTGCACATGTGACAAAAGCTGTTACGTAACAACAGTGAGCTAATTCGTGATAATCAAGGTTCGTTCTTACTTAAAGGAAATATCATAGGCTTTTGTGCCATTTTGGTGTTCCATTTGTCGAATCCTCTTTAATAAGGTGTGTTTGCTGAATCAATATTTGTAATCTCATTTTCTACAGTTTTAGCTTCTCTTATAAAGAACTGGCAAGTCCTGAGCACAATGGAACCTCGCTATCCTTGGAAACCTTCCGTGTTTCTACTGTGCCCATACACATACTAATACATTGCCTTTGTTAATTAAGTTTCTCACCACATCTTTTTTATATGTCATTAATTTCACCTAATCGCAAATCTCTTACTCTTTCCTTTTCTCTCAACTTTGTTTTTTTCATATTTTGTAGATTGATTTTCACTCATTTTCTTATATGACTAAGCCACTGCAATGTACTTTTTTATATTTTTATATTCAAGCTACATTTAGTAAGCATCCATGGATTGAGATTCTTGATTTCTTGTTCTATCATGGGAAGTTTTTACAACAAAAAAAAACACATTGCATTTTGTTTGACTTTTTTGTGTGTGATGTACCCAAGTATTCCAGCTTCCAGGGCAGAACCATGTTTATTTTTTCTGACCAGTAGTAATCTCTCACAACATGCCATATACTACCCACTACTTTCCCACTAGTGTTTGTGTATCTGAAAATTTCTCCATCCATTTCTCCAGTGTTAGCAAATATTTTACCAAGGTACACAAGTTCATTTGTTTACTCTAGTTTTAAAGATAACATGCCAACATTTTATCCACATTTTATCACATTTTATCATTTATTCTGTTAGATAACCTATACCTGCATTCTTATGTTTTCAGCGTTCTTACTTTCTTGCAGTTAAGCTGTGCTTGCTAAACAATTCTTCTTCTGCCTGAATCTTCTACTGGAGTGTGAAAAAAGGAATTTTAGAAATTTAATCATTGTGAAACATTTTAAAGTCAGAATATTCACATTCAGGGATGAAATGATATCTCTTTACAAGATAATGCTAACACTTATATAGAGAGAGCTTTATGCTGTTTCGTTCCTTAGCATATTGTAATAATGTAGTGTTTTATTAGGAGCGCAGAAACTTATGTACAAATGTACTTAGCCATGAAGTTGATTGGAGCCCTTGGGCTAAGTACTGAACATTTCCAGATGGTGATTTGATGTGATGCAAATTTCCAATTCCCCAACATCCTCAGATAATCTATTTTGATTTTTTCTGACTTGCTTCTGAAATGAATGAAACTTGGTATCCAGCAGTTTCAACCTGGGTTTATAGGCATCTGTTTTCCAGTTGGAAGATACTTAATGCTGTGTCTTCTCTTCTCAACAAATAGATTATGTTTTATATAGCCCATTTTAGTATCCTGCTGGGACTTTTGGTCCTGAGGAAAAGTCCTGAATTTTTTTTTTCTGCTGTGTTAGTCTTGGTGGGTTGCTATATGTGTGTAGTTCCCTGTACTAGTCAGAATGTTGCTTTACTGCACAATGGCACTCTGGTGAATGAAAAGTTCCTGTGGCTTCTGAATATGTTTTTTAATTGCTTTTTAAAATGATATTCCCCTTCCGGTCTATTGGTAGGGTCATTTTGCAAACTACCAGTCAAATCTGCAGAAATATACATGGATAAATTGCAACTATTATTATAATGTATGAATATTGTGTGTGCGGGGTCAGGAATGCTAGAAACGTATTATTTTTCTTGTCAAAAAAGCATAAAAAGCTGTTTCTTAATTCAATAGAGCACTAAAATGTGTTTCTGTATATGAGTGGTTCTATATGTCTTACTAGTTAGTTATCTTGAAGCAGAAAGGATGTGCATTGATTGGTTGGCACTCTGCTCAGCAATTGGCAAATAAGGTATCTCTGCAAATTCCAAATTTGCAATCAAGTAGATAGTATCAGGCTAGAAACATTTTAAGTTTTTGAATGAACATACAGAAATACAAATTGATTTTAAAATATATTGGAAATTATTAGGTTACAATAATTGCCATGTGACAGATCTCTTTCATAGGGTAATTGTACACATAGGGTAATTGTACACATACATTAGGACTACTAATTGAGAAATATAGATTAGTATAGATATATAGATATATGTAATCCTTGTAAGAAGCTTGAATATTTATAAAGCAGCTAATCCTGTTGTGTTAATTGTTTTAGCATAATTAAATGCTAAAAGGTTATTTCTAATAGTGATCAACTCATGATTTTTAAGTATACACTCTTCATATTCAGTGTTCAAATTTGCGAGTGTATGAACATTGTTGCAAAATTGCTTTTGCAAAACTGCTTTTCTTTTTATATCTTGATATCAATCTCCTTATGGATTTGTTTCCATGCAGCTGCATATTTTTATTCAAAGATTTAAGAGTTATTATTTGAAGAAAACACACAATATTTGCTGAAATTACTAGAATTACATTATGTAGCTATTAGGAAAAACATTTAGGTGAAATATATTTCCATTAAAGTTTTTTCCCCTTCTTTTCCTCTCTGATTAGTTTTTTTTTTTAAATAATCTAATATTGAACTTGTGATAGTATAAATTACAAGGATTTATAATAACCATTTCCCATTTAATGAAACTCGTTGAAATATATTTTTTAATGTGGCTTGAGAAAACCATAAATATGTTTTTTGTGGCAATTTGTGAAAATCTTAACTTAATGCGGCAATTTTTATTTTACAAAGTTGTCATGAGGGCTTATGGTGAATCCACTTGCCTGGTAGGTTTATATCAGGCAAGCATACAGAAGAAATATCAAATGGTCACTGAAAAATAATGATCTTTGTAAATCATACTAGCAAAATTAGAATGAAGTGTCTTCAAAAGGC